TTAAGCTTAACAATGGAGCTCTGTGCATTGTGTTTTAAGGCTTACAAGCAGGTATTGTGTTCAAAATAAGCAAGCATTGTTTAACCAAAGGTACGTGTGCTTATAGTGGTTGGATAGAACTACTGTCAATATAGAATATATACAATACAGATATAAATACTGTCAATGTGCTTTTGTTTTCAGTGATTGGCCAAAAAAAGTTGTAAAGTAATTTGTAACATTAAGTTCTTGGTTTGCTGCCTGGGATATGAGCTGCTGTCCTCTTCCCATTGTCATAACCATGGAATGAGACTGATGCTGAAAAATAAAACAGCTTGAGACACCTCCCTAGCAGTCCTGTCCCATTGGTGATTTGTACATTGATTTTTCAGCAGAAAAATTATGTAAGAAGTAGAAAAGTAAGGACAAATAGAGCAGTGATCTGTGTATTAAGGCTTGTCTAGAATAACTCCTAGTAGAAAAGTATAGCTAGAGGGATGTTAGGAAGTTTTGATAATGGAGCCCTGTGCATTGTGTTTTAAGGCTCACAAGGAGGTGTTGTATTCAAAATAAGCAAGGCACCTTCCCCAGCAGCCCTGTCCCGTTTGTGACTTGCACACAGCCCCTGGCTGGTGACGCCCCCGAGCTGTGGCAGCTCTGGTGGAGCTGCTCCAGGGTTCCCCCAGTGCCAGGGGAGCACAGAGCCCCATCCTGGCCTGCAGATGGTTCCCCCTCTCCTTTGGAGAGGCTGAATGACTTTTCAAACCTTTGATTCCTGATGTATTCACTTCAGGAGACACAAAAGTACAAAATCTCAGCATGGAGTGACTCCCTCTCTTGCTTTACTATTTTGTTGGGGTTTTTTTATTTTCCTTCCCACACCCCCCCACCCCTTGTCTTTTCTTTTCTTTTCTTCTCTCCCTGGACAGTTTTATAATTTTGGCCTGTGGCCAGAAAGTCTGTCCTGATTAGCCTGGGCTGGCTGTGAAACACCTGCAGCCCATTAGAGCAAGAGGAAGGAAAAAAAAANCCAGGGTGCCCCAAGGCCCATCCAGCCTGGCCTTGGCACTGCCAGGATCCAGGGCAGCCTCTACCAGGGCCTGCCCACCCTCTGATCACCTTCCTATCTCATCTAAACCTCTCCTCTTGTATTTTAAAGCTGAACAACATTTATCTCTGGGCTCAGCAGCATCTCCAGCTCAGCCGTGGAGCTTTGTGCATTCCCCTGCAGTGAATTCACCCAGGTTCAGGCACAGGAGGGCTCTGATCTCCACACAGGGCCTCCTGTTGCTGCCACGGAGCAGGAAAATGCCAAACATGGCTCATACCAATCCCACCTCTCACTAATCTGTTTTGTCAGCTCATCAGAATCTTGAAAGCAACCTTTAAGTGCTGGGAGGCATCCTGGTTTCTAATTAGGCACACTCAGATTCTGTGGTTCAGTCGAGCCAACCTGGCTCGCTGCTGCAGCTCCAAACATGTGCACTTGAAATCAGTTTTTCCATTCAGAAAAAGAGATAGGGCCCCCAGTTTCCTCCCCTCAGATAAGCTGAAGGAGAAAGGAACATGAAGTCATGTCCCTGCTACCCTAAATCTGTGTGGTTCTGTGTCCCATCTCCACAGCCCCAGCTGAGCTTTGCTGGCACCCAAAGCCGGAAATTGAAGCACAGGATACTCCAAGGGTGGAGAATAAAAGAATAAAAGATTCCAGTGATTTCTGAGCCATCAGAAAAGGTTTGATAAGCTACTGTTCACTGCCAGTGTTATTTGTGTTTTCAGGAGTGTCACGGTGCTCTCAGCACTCTGCAAACAATAAACCAGAGCTCACAGACCTGTCCAACCGACTACAAAATGCAAAAAAAAGCACAAAATTCAAAACTGGATTTTGTTCAAAATTCAAAACTGAATTTTGTTCAAAATTCAAAACTGAGTTTTGTTCAAAATTCAAAACTGGATTTTGTTCAAAATTCGAAACTGAATTTTTCAGTGTTCTCACCACTCTGCTAACAACAAGCCAGAGCTCACAGACTTTTCCAACCAACTACAAAATGCAAAAAAAAAAAGGCACAAAATTCAAAACTGACTCACTCTGCCTGATTGTAAAGCCCTTCCTGAAGCTTTTCATCAGCCATTTGCTTTCTATAAGGAAAAAAATTGATCTAATCCAATTTAGTGAATCATTTCAGCCTTGCAGCTCTGTAATTCCTGATACCAGGGCATTTCCATTTTGATCACCCTTAAAAGCATATGCAGAGCCTGAGGGATCAGGGATGCTCCTCAGGGCTCACAAGGCACTGACCCTGGTGCAGAGGTGACACACAGCACTCCTGTCCCCTTGGAATTCAGCCTGAACCTTGGCAATCCCTCCCTGGCATTCCCTCCTTGGCCGTGGCATTCCCTTCTCACCCAGCTGCCAAAAAGGAGATCTGAAATGAAAATAATTAACATCAATCACTCATGGGTTTGTTGTTTGGTTGTTTGTTTTTTTTTTTTCCCTGCTGAGCATCCAAACCCATATCTTAGATAAACAAACAGCACAAAGAGTTTGGTCCCAGCCAAACCCTGGCTCTGAACAGATCTGGGTGAGATGCTCTCAGTCAGGTGGAATCCTGTGAACTCATTCCCCTCAGCTGTGCTCATTATTCAGCCCCCAAACCCAGACAGCTCCCATGGACATGCCCTGAGGCTTGGACACATCTCACTTACCTTCAGGGACTGCCTGAGGAAGCTGAAGGTGAGGGGCATCCCCAGGGCACTGCCACAGTGGCACAGGGGCTCCTGTGGGGCTGCATCTCTCAGCATTAGCCACAGTGCCTGAGGGCAAGGCAAACCCACTGCTGGGAGCCAGCCAGAGCCTCAGAGCAGCTTTTCCCTGCACATTTTCCCTTTTCCCAGCAGCATCCTGGCTGCTCTTGGCTCCCACCCCAGAGAGCAGCACCTGGGGAAGGTCCAGCCCTGCCCAGCTGGGAGGGCACAGCTCACCCACCCTCACACAGCCCATGTTCCCTTCCAGGAGAATTGCTGTCCATGTGGGGCTCAGGGGCAATTCAGCACTAAAAAGCAGCAGGGTGAGAGCTGCAGAGCTCTGCCTTGCCTCTGCAGCTCTAATTTTGCAGAAAAGGGATTAATTAATGACTGGTGGACAAGGCCACAGCGCTTCCCTGGCAGCTCTGCTGTCACTATGGAGATCCTGCACTCCAGGGCTGGTGCCACACGCTGTCCTGGCAGGAGGATGCCCACACCCAGCCAGGATCCCACAGCCCCCTTTGTGGGAATCCAGAAAATCAGAGGGGTTTGGGAAAGCTGCAAAAGGCAGCTCAGAGACAGCAGGACTGGGATTGGAGCTAAGCAGCAGCCGTGAGATTGGGCTGAATCAGAAAAATGAAGCAGAAAAATGATGTAAGGAGTAGAAAAGTAAGGACAAATAGAACAATGGTTTGTGTATTAAAACTTGTCTAGAATAACTCCTTAAGCTGTAGAAAAGTATATTTAGTGAGATGTTAGGAAGTTTTAAGCTTAACAATGGAGCTCTGTGCATTGTGTTTTAAGGCTTACAAGCAGGTATTGTGTTCAAAATAAGCAAGCATTGTTTAACCAAAGGTACGTGTGCTTATAGTGGTTGGATAGAACTACTGTCAATATAGAATATATACAATACAGATATAAATACTGTCAATGTGCTTTTGTTTT